AATGTACTAAATGACAATTTAGCAAAATAAAATATTGAATCTTTCTCATGTACAGTGAACCAACATAACTGCAGATTTAGAAGTCTGACTGAACATTGCCTGAACATTACAGAAAACACCTGATTTCAGCGATTGCCTCAGTGTTATCGCTTTCTCTCTCTCTCTCTCTTTCTTTACAAACATATATATATATGTATATATATATATATGTGTTTGTATAGGGTTACAGGAGCCTATCTCCAGGTGTCTATGGGCGAGAGGCGGGGTCCACCCTGGACAGGTCGCCAGTCTATCGCAGGACAACATAGAAACAAACAGGACAAACAACAATTCATGTACACACTCACACCTAAGGAGAATTTAGCGTCAGGTTAACTGGCTTTTGACTGTGGGAGGAAGCCAGAGTACCCAGAGAGAACCCACGCATGCTCAGGGCAGTAAGACCCCGGGCCGGGAATCAAACCAGCACACAGCACTGTCTAGAACCTTTGACTAATAATACCTCAGTGGACAGTTTATCTTCAACAGTCAAAGTCAGGTCTAAACAAATCATACTACAGTCATTCAACCTGCTACTAGTAACTTTGGCAGACATGGAAAAATTAAACACAAAAATCTCCATAATTCTTTTGAACTGAATGAATCATTAAGGGTTTTAAATGTCACACTCACATGCTATGACATTATGTCCCAGATGTGCTCAATCATATTCAGGTCTGGGGAACGGGCAGGCCAGTCCATAGCTTCAAAGATTTCCTCTTGCAGAAACTGCTGACACACTCCAGCAACATGAGGTCTAACTTATTAGGAGGAACCCAGGGCAAACCACATCAGCAGATGCTCTCACAAGGGGTCAGAGGATCTCATCTCGGGACCTAATGATCGTCCTTCGCAGTGTTGGGCTGTAAGCACAACCACCATCTGTGGATGTGGGGCCCTTATACCATCCTCGTGGAGTCAATTTCTTATCGTTTTTGCAAAGTGACCTGTCAAGAATCGAGGACAGATGGACCCAGTATTCAGGAGAGACAGTCAGTAGGAAAGTTCAAACGATTTATTAAAATAAAAACAAAACAAAAGCGGAGCTGTGCCTCGCGGACACTGCAGGCGGGGGGCGGGGCACCGCCCAATCTCAGACACTAACAGTCCAGACCACGAGTGTCCCCAGTGCTGCAGTCCAAGAGGTGATGCTGGAAGCTGATCCAGGTGAGGGATCCAGAACAGACAGGAACAGACAGAAACAGGCAGGATCCAGATCAGGCAGGAACAGAAACAGGTGGCAGGATCCAGACTTCCAGGCATCCACAGGCTTCCAGGAGCGTTCAGAGTTAGCACAGGAGCAGAAGCATGAGCAGGTGGTCACGCACAGGAGCAGACAGGATCAGGTGCAGACAGGCAGGCTCAGTGGAAGAGGGTAGCCGAGACAGGACGTGGAACCGGAACTTTAAGCAGGACTTTAAACTGGTCTCCTCCCTGGAGCCAGGCTTACTTTGATAAAAACTGAACCTCCACCCATATTGAGCCAAAAACCCAGAGGACTCCGTGGGGGAGGAACAGTGGACGATCAGGAGACGAGACAAACACTAAAACCCTCCTTCCACTGGCAGCTAGGATCCAGGACACGAACCAAATAAAACTGAACAGAAAGACTAGCAATGATCTGGCACTGAATGCTCAGGCTGAACTGAATATAAACTAGAGGAAACAGGTGAGAGGAATAAATTATAATGAGGCAGGGAGGGAAGAGGGCAGGTGAGAGGAATTACTAATTAAGGGAGAGCAAACAGGCCAGATCATGACATGACCTGCTTTAGGCTTTTTGCAGGGCTCTGGCGGTGCTCCTACTGTTCCTCCATGCAGAAAAAGGAAGAGGTAGCGATCCTGCAGCTGGGTTGATGCTCTCCTACAGCCTTCTCCACTTCTCCTGGTGTGCTGTTGTGTCTCCTGGTAGCATTTTAAAGGCTTTCTTTCACCTATAGGCAAATATATGGTGAAATAATGTTTTTATTTCTAATCAAATATTGTTGCTTTTTTCCCAATCCTAAATAAAAACACTTTATTTCAAAGTGAGACGGCAACAATTTTGTGTCATCACTGCATCAGGCCACTTCTGATTGCTGAAGAAAGGCTAAAAAAAAAGTTTTTGATGACTTAGAAGTTAGCTGTAAAATAAAAGTTGCTGCCCTGTGCAGATTAGCTGCTACAAGAGCTGAAATGTTTGCACTCTGTCTCACATCCTCCAATCCCGATCAGAGAAAGTGGGGGTTTGTTAAAATGCAGGCGCAGAGCGGCTAACAAAGGTGCTTCTTGGAGGGTAAAATGTCTTATTGCGATATTCGGTATTTAACTCAGTAAGGACACTTACTGGTCCGCGGCCACCATAATAAGTGCTATCTGAATAGTGCTGACAATTAGGAAGGAGCTAGGACAGGAAGAACAACGCTTCCTAGCGCTAATGCAGTTAGCATAGTGTCCTCTGCTAGAAGGCATATGGTTTCCCACAATGCTTTGCGTGACATGATGTATACATTTTTTCTTTACGTGTATTCTGTATGAATTTTTAATGGATTGCCATTAGCTACATTTGTGTAAATTCTGTTTTTTGTTGCTCTTTTCCTGAGGTGCACATGTGGTGTTGTACCTATTGCAGTGGTTATAATTTGTACGTAAATATTTCAGACTGAATTACAAGTAACACTTTTGTTCTGATATTAGATTAATTTCCTATCTCCTCTAGTCTTTTTTCTCTTGTCTCCCTTCACCCCAGCTGGTTTTCATTATCTTAAGTATTTCCATCATGTTTCCACCTGATGGTCCTGTAACCACTAACAACAAAGGCCAGGATTTTCCATCAAGCTCAGCTCTCTACTGATGTTGGTTTATAGGGCAGCATTGTTTGATCAAAGCTTTAAACATCAGACTCCCCACTTTTTCTTTCCTTTCTTAAAAAAAAAACAAATAAAAAATAGCTCACAGCAGGGTAGCCGAGGTCTTCCAGCTTAGCAATGTCACACTCTCTGCTGCTGTACCACCCATCAAAGCATACTGTTGGGTCGCTGCGAAAGCAACGCTCCACTTTCCGATGGTTGTGAGTTCTGACAACGAGATGAGACAGGAGAACGAGGTGGTGGGGGACGCGATCTGCTGACCAGCTTCAATTTGCTACAGACAGCTCCATTTCCCGTCTACGACCTAATAAAAGCCGAGGGCCCTGAGCGGGCCCTGGCTGTCATGGTGGATACTCAGAAACAGAGGCTGTCTTTCACCAGTCTGTGCTGTGATTCAAGGACTCGCTGTCATGCTTAAATCCATCCCAGACAAGAAGATTCACAAAGAAATTGGTCCAGATTTCCACATATTTTCAGAGAAGTTCACAGAAATGTTGAGAAAATTTGCAGAAGCACAGTTTTTATTTTTTGCTTTTAGATCTAATTAAGGTCAGATCTTTTCCAGTTAAAAGATTTGGTATGAAAAAAAAGACAAAATCTAAGGTTAAATCAAGTTTTACAAAAATTTCATGCAAAGAAAGCATTTTTTAAATGGAATTTTGAATTTGATTTTTACAAGTTTTATATTTTCTGATTTTATCTTTTAAATTTTTTCTTTTCAGACTGAGTATTAGAAATATTATACTTTTCAGATCGTATTTTCTTCACTTCTGGGGGCGAGCTTTGCTCTGGAGTGAGAAGAAAAACACTTTTTCTACAGGACATTAACAACAACATTTTTTTGGGGACTTTAATGAATGAGAGTTTAATCTATAAAGCACTTGAAAGTCTTGAAAATAATACAATTTGAAAATCTTAATATGAAAAACAGGAACTAGAAAAAAATTACAGTAAAAAAAAAATAAAGTTTGATGAAAACAAAACCTGAAAAAGTTAAAAATGAAAGAAAAAAACTGAGATTTAATAATTAATTTTGAATATTTTGAAAACATAAAATGTAAGAAAACAGCAAACACCTCTTTTTTGAATTATGAATTTAATTTCAGTTCCAGTTTTAAATTTTTAATGAAAAACCTGTTTTTTGCTTGAACCAATGATGGAACAAAAATTATAGCATATGTTTGCAAAATTAGCTAAAACATTAAACAGTTATTTACCCAAGAACCACATTGAAAGAATCGTTGCCGTTATGTGGAGAAAAATGGAAACACCATTAACATGCATGTAGGTAAATACTATCCTCTGCTTTATTGGAAAAATGGCCTTTAAAATATGGAAAGTTTAAAAAGGATCCCTGATGGCCTTTCTGAGGCATAATGTTATTTAATTTGGTGAAATCAGAGGTTTCTGTTTTTTTATTCATCCATCCATCCATCTGCAGATCATGAAGTCTTTTTTTATCTTTTTTTTTATTAACTGGCTTATTTACTTCTTGTATGTATTTATTTTTCAAATATATTTATTTTATTATTATGTGTATTATTTGGTTCTCTCTCTATGTGTCCAAATTTAAGAGGGTTGTTTTATTTCATTTCACCCTTTATGATTTAAGTTTAAAAATTTCAATCAGACTGAGAAGCAGAAATGTTTGGGTTTAATTTTAGATTTTCTGCAATGTTTTTTTCTTTTTTCTGTTGGATGAAGAAAAAAGGAACTTCCTCCACTGGTTCTGTTTTTTAAAGTGTGCACAGATCCAGGATAAGCTGGTGCAGTGTCCATGGCAACTTGTTTGAGCAACAACAAGAAGCTTTTTGTCCTGATGGGCCACTTTTCTGAGCTCTGCAGTGACTGCTCTCCTTTTTATCCTGCCTCTCTCTCTCTGTGTCCATCACACTAGAGCCTTTTTTCTCTCCAAGTTTTCCCATGGTGCATGGTGTCCCTACATTGGAGGGAGTGTTTACAGGATGTTATCTGTGTCAGTCTCGGCCCCTGGAGTCTCTCTGGAGTGGGTTCTGGTGGAATGCTGAAACGGGATGGAGGAGGAATTTCAAAAGGAGGAGTGACGAGAGACAGGCACAGAGAGAAGGGTGAGGGAGAGAGGGGGGGGGAGGGGGGGGGGGGGTAGTATAAATAAATCCCAAGGAGGCTGGTGCTCATAGGCACAGCTGGACTCCTGGATAACTGGACTGCAGCCCATTGGAATATTTAACCAAAAAAGGTGAGTTTTTAGCATCTATTTAGTACTTTTTTTTTAGAAAGAAAGAAAGAAAGAAAGAAAGAAAGAAAGAAAGAAAGAAAGAAAGAAAGAAAGAAAGAAAGAAAGAAAGAAAGAAAGAAAGAAAGAAAGAAAGAAAGAAAGAAAGATGTAGTTTTGATGATAATTGGAATCATAGAGTAAAAAAAAAAGGCTTTTAATGTCTTTTTTTTGTTGCTAAAATGCCGTCCTGTGGTTTCCTGTTGTCTCTATTAAAGCTTTTTAAGCTCTCTAGCCAAGCATGAAACCCTGACCAGTGTTGGATCAAGTGCTCAGTGAGACTCGCCTTTTTTTGTTATATAAAGATAAGGTTTGGTGTCACAAAGGAAGCTATTTTTTCCAAATGTTATAACACAAACTAAACTATTTCCCAGCATTTAACAGCATATTTTTCATCTTTTCCCATCTTTATGCAATGGAATTAAACTTTTGTTTTACTTTAAATTTCAAATGTTGCACTTTTCTTGTTTTTCATTCTAATCAGACGGTTTACATGCAGTTATTTGTAAAAGGGTTGCTGGCATGTGACTGAATAATGTAAATCTAATCATCACGGTGTTAGAAAAAACAGGCTGTAAAACGACACCATAATGAGCTCATCACCACAAAGATAATTGGTCAGCTTATGAGCTACACACATCTACCTGCATTTTTCTCAACATTTAGGACCAAACAGACAAATTAGACTTTTAGATGATTTGGTGGTAATTAAGTGGAGAATTAACTGTGGAGGTAAGGGTGGAACAAGTGCAGTGGAGGAAATTTTCTCCTCTCACAGTTGGGTGTGCCTGTTCCTGAGCTACGTTTGGGCTCCAGTGAACATAAACTGATTGAGCTCATCTCTCTTGAGCATTTAACGTAGAAAAAACATGGATCATTACTGATATAAACCCTGCTTTTCCCATATTCTGAACATCTGTGTTTGCTTTGGGTCTTGGCTATTGTTGGAGCAGCAACATAACGTCCCCCAAAGGGCCAGCACTGCTAAGTTGGGCAATAACTTACATCATAATTCCTCTGTACACATACTATGTTTGATATTTATAATGATTTTGTGCAGAAGTGACTTGTTTGAGTACCTTTGTGAGCATTTGACAATGCCATCAAGGCCTTAAAAGAAGTCCCTGTCATTAACCGAGGCTGTGAGGGCGCGGCATGAAACTGGATGCCAACATGTGCTGACATGACCAACCGTTGCGTTTACTGTAGGTTTTGTTTGTTAGGGAAATGTCCTCTAGGAAAAAAAACTGTCTCAGTGTCAGCTGTTTACCTTTTCTTTCACACCTACACCAGGAAAACAAAAAAAACAACCTGGTACTTTGTTCTGAAGTTGAAATAAATCACACTATTACGAACTTTACAAGGGTTTCTTTCTTTTTTTTTCATGTTCTTTTCTCCTTTTAGGAACCAACAAACTCTCTGGATTTCTGATTAGATTTAGTTACCGAGACAAACGTAAAGATGAATACTGTGGAAGAATGGCTCGTTGAAAACAGGGACAAGATTGAGAAAGGTGTGGAGATCATGGGGCAGGCCTCAGAGGTGCTGGCGGCCACCGTGGGCCAGCTTCACCCCATCCTGGAGGCTGTTTTCGTGGCTTCTGCTGAGCTACTCAGCAACCCAGAAGGCAAAGAGGCTCGCTACCTGACTCAGCAGTTTGAAAAAGTCAACTCTAAACTGGAGGGAATCCAGGATGAGATTGATAAACTGGCGCTGGAGCTGCAGAAGACGTCAATGAACAAGCAGAACTTTGACCGAGAGGCACAGATTCTTAGTCAGTACGAGAAGTTCCAGGACTTTGTCAATGCCAAGCCAAAGTTCAGGGAGAAGAAGATGGAAAAGTTTATCAACCACTATGAGGCTACAGATGCCGACATGAACTTGGACGCAATCTACAATGCCGTCAAGGGGGAGAACCTCTCAGGAGACCCCATGCTGGAGACGGTGCTCGCCACCGAGCAGAGAGGCAGAAGGGCGGTCGAGGATTTCTGTGCTCGGCTGAAGAAGCTCTTTGTGGTGGGCATCATCTCTGTCATGGGCTACGCCGCACTCAAGGAAGGGACCGTCGGGGAGGAGATGGTGAAGAAGTGGCAAAATCGAATGGAGGACGTAGAGAAACGCATGAAAGCAGCTGTGGATGACTGTACCGTGAACTTTCCCAAACAGGCCAAGCTGGACATGGAGCAGCACGTCCAGGAGAACCCTGGTACAGTCGCTCCCGAGTTCGTTAAATCTCTACTCGATTTGCTCACCAAGAAATATGACTGGGTGAGTTGGTCCGTCAGGGCCTTCAACGACAGAGAGCGCATTTTCTTCTTCAACTGGCTGGCGGGAAAGAAGTACCACGCAAGCGGCGGAGCCAAATGGTTTGACATTCTGACCAAGAACAAGATCAAGGTGATCATCTCGTTCTGCGTCGACCCCAAGCCCATCAACAAGAGTCAGATCCAGGAGGAGATTGGGCAGCAGAAGCTGAAGGGGAACATGATGGCAGTGGCTCTGTCCTTGAACAAGAGCTTCCCCAACTGTCTGGTCCATGCTGTGAGCCATTACAAGGCAGTGGTGGAGACCAACAACTTCCATGAGGACTGTTATTACTTTGGAAAACACAAAGGTGCCTACATCTGTATCCATCCTGAGTAGCTTCCAAGGCAGAAGGATGTGTCCCCTAATCTCTAAAGTGGAGATCTTAGTTAAATCTGTAATAAAAATGGCTATATCTGTTGGTGTATAATCTGCTTTGGGTATTGCTTTGGGTCCCTTGTCTTTCAGGATTTCCTGTTTTTATCCATATATCCAGTCAAATTATGTTTTATAAATCTATCAGAGCCATTACTTTTTTGTAAACTCTGTCATTTGAGTCAATACCAAATAGAAATTCCAAAAATATTTGCTGAATCAGAGATTTAACCTTTGATTAAAACCAACTCTACCCATAGACAACGTCAGCAACAAATCTTAATGGTTGCTTTATGGTGTCTATTGATGTTGAGGGGATTATTTAATCACTGTGATACTAGAGGTATTTTAAAACACGTTATTGAGTGTAAAAGGTAATTAAATGCTGGGTTGATTGTATAAATCTTGGTCTTCTGATCTTCTCAGTTGGTTAGGATTTAAAATGGCTAGTCCAAGAAAGGCCTGGTGCAACGATCCGAAAGTTAAAAACCAAACAGCAAGGATTTAACAAGCTGCTTTAAAAACAAGTTTGTGTCCGATTTGCATCAGAAGGTCATTGATGTCTACAGTTGGTTGAAAAACATATGTACATTTCAAGTAAATGGTATTTTGCTGAAGTTGGTGGAAATGCCATGCCTGAACCTCAGGCTTACTTTTTAGTTTTAAGACGAATTGACGAACCCAACAAGCAAAATGAGTCGCTGAGAGAGTTATGAACTCAAGTTTATCCTGTTAACAGAAAATAAAGAGTAAATAAAAAGGTGTTTTACTTCAAATTTTTAAGAAATTACCTCCGAATAAATAAAGACGCTCTTACAGGTTGCCGGATGTGGCAGCTCTGGAAAACTCATGAAATCCTTTTTCCAACAACATTGAATTCTGTTTATTAAATTCAAACAAAGCTGAAGAACAAAAGCATCCGTTTGAGTTAAACCCAGGTGTTGTTTACTCTCTTATTATGCAGCTGGGAGCAGCAAAGTTAAAGAGCCGGTACAGCAAACCATCTGAAACCACAACATATTGTCTGCTTCAGGCTTTCAGAAGCATTCGATTTTCAGGTCCAGCCAGTTGGTGCTCATTAGAAGCAGCTGTGTGAAAATTGAATTAATCTTTGAGCTCCTGGTTTGTATTCCCAATTAAAAAAGTTAGATTAATGCAGAATTTCCTTCTTACAGGAAATTAGATAAACTACATTAGAAGCTGCAGGACAGGTGAGCGGTGGTCTGTTAGCTGATTTATTGTGTCTATGATTCATTTTGCATTTAAAGTATAAATGTGAAGAAACTGTCTTTTACATGTTTGTTAATTATATATATATATATATATATATATATATAAAGCATCACATACACTGTATTGCCAAGAGTATTGGGTCACATGATGAAATAAATGATTTGGCTGCATTTGTACAAACTTTGGTTTGGTAAAAAAACTTTACTGATCTGTTTTGACGTTAAACCTTTTGGGGTGAATTAAAGTAAAGTCTGAAATTCTGATTTTCTTCTCTGTACGCACACTAAAACCTTATGGAAGATGTTTGATAGTTAAAGTAAAAGTACATCAACAAACTGTACCCGTTATATAAAGAACAGGATGTTTATGGGGTAGGATAGCTAACAATAGAAACGTATTTGTAGATGTCTAAATCTGTAAATTAAAGTCTAAATCGTAAATATTCAACATTTGCATTTCTTCCTTCTTATAATCTGATAGAAACATGCGAGATCTGATCTTTATCAAATTCACAAATTACACATTTTCTTGTAGTAATCAGAAATGAACAAGTTTGAGCCATAAATGTATCAACAGGAATTACAAATTATTACCAGAAGCCATAAAATCACAAGTTTAAGTCAAAAGTTTCCTAGTAGGAATTACTAATTTACAAATGATCATTTTGTAATTCATACTTGTATAGTTGCAAAGTTGTATCTTTACAACTTGTGTTCATATAAAAGACAAATCTTAAACGTATTAATGTTTTTTGACTTTTATTTGAAAATGTACACATTTACGACCGTTATCTTACCCCATACATGTTATTAATGTTAAACTAGACAAATACTTTTGGCAATATATAAAAAAATACAATGTATAAAGATTTGGCAAGCTGTTTAAGACCAAGTACAATCATCAATATGTGTATAATTCACTTTTATTTTTAATAAACAACAGAATAAAGAGTTGTTGTCACCTGGTTTTCATTAATCTACCATTTAAGGACTTAGAAATAAGACAATATGTAGTTTTCTTCTTAGCTATTGTTTTTTTTCTCTCTCTCATTGAAGGGCCTGTTTTTTCAGTTAGGTTGAGGCTGATCTGTTGCCTTTTCAAGAGGAGCAACACCCTTTTTTTCCACCAGTGTGTCTGGGTGTGCCTCTTCCCTGTAACTCTACAGCCACATGACCAATAGGAAGACAAACAGGAGTTTAGATTTCTTCCGCAAACTTTACAAGGTGAGTCCATTTCTGATCCCAGAACATCTCACAGCGCAAAGCCAGGAAAATGAGAGAAAAACATGATCGTTTGGTTCTGGTTAGAAAATAACCGATTCTTCTTATCTGACTTCATTCGGTCTCTGGTTACATAATCCAGCCATTTGCCCCATTTTTGGCGCATTTACCGCATATTTCATAACGAGGTTTGGTTTCCTTGGTTTCAGAAAGGAGACGTTAAGAGTCTGCTGAGTTAATTCCCTGTTTTAGTCTAAAAACGTTGGTGCTTTTAGGGGTTATTTTCTGCTGCCAGCTCATGGTTTCTTTCCAGGAAGTGCCTGTTGGGGCGTTTGGGTCCCTGTTGCGCAGCGCAGAAGCAACTCGGAGCAGATCCGCTGCGCAAACATGCGCTGTTTGTTTGTTTGTTTGTTTGTCTGCGGCCTCCTGCTGTAAACCGACAGGCTGAGAGGACTGATCGATAGCTTTTACATTAACAGCGCGCATTAACAGAGGCTGGAGGGATTTCCGCCTCAGTGGTTTATGCGGGAAGCAGAAGCAAAGCCGGACCGAGTTCAGCTCTTCTCTTCTGCCCACATAAACATGCTGCTGCTCTTATCAATAAAAGAGGCTCTTTGCACAAATCCTTCCCCAGTAAGTTATAAACTATATTTATTTGCGTAAAAGTCACGATCCTACGACGGATTATTTATTTTTCGAGAATAATGTCGTAAAACACCGAGAATAAAGCTGTAATATTATGAGAAAAATGTCCCTATTTGTGAAACTGATGCTAAAGTAGCCTAAAACTTAACATGAAGCTCGACATCAATTCACCTCAGTTTATTTATACAGCTCCAATTCACATCACATGTCATCTCAAAGCACTTTATAGGTCTCCAAATCATCCAGTCAAATTGATTCAATAAGGGAGCTCCCGTGTCAGAGGATGAAGAGAGCATTTCCAGTTAGACACAATCAGAGAAACAGGACTACACTGAAGAACAGGCCGATCTCCAACATCTAGAAACAAAGGTGTTGATGGCAGCAGCACAGCTGATATTTCTCTCCAGGATGGAGTCACAGCCAAACAGGAACAGACCAGATGAAGCTACTATGAGAAAAAGCAGAGAGAGCAGAACGTTAGAGATTGAACTAACAGATTCTGCAGTGGGAGAATAGAGATAGAATGAAGCAGAATGATGAAAAAGGGGTCCCTATGTCCTCCAGCAGACTAAGCCTATAGCAGCAGAACTATAGAGATAGCTCAGGATAACCTGAGCCACTCTAACTATAAGCTTTATCAGAAAGGAAAGTTTTAAGCCTAGCCTTAAAAGTAGACAGGGTATCTGCCTCACCTCATATCATCATTAGAACTCATTTGAGTATTTTGTCTTCAGTACAGGGGACAGGACGTGATCTACAGGGGCACTGGGCCCCGTTGGCCCCTGTCTAGAAGTGCCCTTGATCCACCCTTTTCTCTTTATATTTTTCTCTAAAGGACTTTATTAAGTCTTTTTTGAGCAAAACTTCTAAAATATTCCTCTTTATTGTCGTGCCAGTTAAAAAAAACAAACCTAGAAATAAAGGGGTTTTGTGCCAGAGATGACTAAAAGTTATTTATCCGATTTACTCTCTCCAGTAGGAAATAAACATTTTGTCCCTAAATTCATCCCATCTAGTCTGATTCAAATCTGTATTGGCTCAGGTTAACTGTGTTTTTTTTTTCACTTCTCAAGCTTATAAAACTTAAAGCTTCGCATGAATTTATTTTTTGTTGAATTTCTGAATGAAAGTGTTTATATATATATATATTTATATATTCCTGCTGCCTTAAATGGGGAACCCTCTAAATATTATGACTTAATCAGAGGGATTGTGGTATTTCTGCATAAATAAACAGGAAGGGCTTTTACTTCGGTACGTGTTTTTGGGTGTTTTTGCGATTATCCAGGTAGCTTAACTCTGGGACAATATGAACCTGGAGGTAATTAGACTGGAGACATACGTACATGTGTGATCATTATTATGAAGTCACCTTCAAATTAGCTGGTTATTGACCAGGATGATGAGGTCACCAGCTAAGATCTTTATATATGATATATTTGGTTTATTGAGCTTTTCTTGACGCGATGTTCAAGTCTGTCGTAAAACGTGGGGCCTTTTTTTTTTATCCCCCACTGAACAATAAATACTCGCATCAATATTTGACAAAGGGACGCTGTGGCGCACATTTAATGTCTGCCTGACAATACACAGCGAAACAAAGCTTGGTCTCCCGTACGAGGGGAAAAAGGAAATAAGTCCAGATTTCTTAATGCTTATACATTTTTATGATTTAAGTTAAAGTATAAAACAAATTTTCTCCTGGATAAAAACAGTGTTGGTTATGTATCGGTTGGTAATGATCACTTTACTGCTCTGCTCAGTTCACTCAGCTATATTTAAATGATTAGTAAGTCTGTTGCTTTGGGGCCTGTAAAGCCGCAGGACTCAGTCCTCCTAACAGAATCACACCTTCTAGGTCGAGGATCCAGTTTCTTTATCTGTTTCCACAAAAACAAATCGGCAAAGATGTAGAATAACTGCACTTAAGATAATTAAAGATTCCCCATCTAATTATTTTCTAACAGTCCTGAGTCCGACAACTGGGATGACTCAACAATCCTGTTAGCCTCTTCTTCTCTTTATCCCTAATTTATCTCTATTTTATCCTCTAGGACGTATTAAACGGGTCAGTGTTTTGTAAATAAAATAATTAACTCACAGTCAGTCACACTGGAAACCTAAATACATTAAAATTACACCAGTTTTCTTATTAAACGTAGAGCTCCTGGTCAATTATTTATTTTAAACTTAATTCTGAAATCAGCTGATTTAAATATTGTTGCAAGATTTTTTTTTTTATGTACAATAATTTTTCACCTAGCTTCAGTCCCAGATAAAATGAGGTTTCCCTCCTGAGCTTTGGATTCTTATGTTTCTGAAAATTTGATTTATTCAAAGCTCCTCTGTGTTGGATTGTCTGTCTGAAAGTGTTTCGTGTAAAAAGACAAGCCAGGAGAGGCTGAGGAGTGAGGATGGAGATTTTTCACTCTCACCAAATTAGATCCAGTTTCTCTAAAGGCTTCACCTTCAGAGGGGCACTTTTTGCCTCTTTTTCTAGATGTTCTTGTGGGAAGATTTTTTTTTTTAAGCTTTGTGAATAAGATTTTTTTTTTTTTACTAAAATGTTTTGGGTCTTTGTGGAAAAAATAGTCCTTTACAATTTGTGATCCCTTATAGCTTTTCACGCAATTTATCAAATGATTAATTTATGTGAAGTTAATCTTATCGATGAACTAATGAATTAATTAATAAGCTGGCATTTTTGATTTATTTTGTATCAAGTAGATCTTTATTGTTATTATATTATATTTTATTGTTTTATTACTTATTAAATTAAATATGCTGGATTAAAGAAAATAGCACATAATTATATTTTAATAATTCATTTTAGAATAGAATAGAACAGAATTCAACTTTATTGTCATTACACCGTCACAAGTACAAAGCAACGAAATGTAGTTTGCATCTATTCAGAAGTGCTATACAGGATATTAATATTTACATGTGCACAGAGACCATGTATGTACAGACTATAAATGGTATATATAAACAGAGAGTAATTGTAAGAGGCTATTAAAATCAATAAATATGGAAGCTATATACAGATTATACAGGAAAGTTAGCATATATATATATATATATATATATATATATATATATATATATATAAATTCTGTTACAGCAGAATTTCCCCATTGTGGGACAGTGTAGGGATTTTCTATTCTATTCTATATATATATTAGAAGGGTTATAATACATGATAAATAACGAAGGATGATAGCAGGTAAAAAAAATTGCAGATTATATACAGCTATAGTTGAGAAGTTTGTGTAAGTGATGATGGATCCGAAGGTTGTTGTTTTTTGGCAGCTGTATTAAAAACTGAATAAACAAAAAACTTTTTTTTTACACATTATTACATTTATTTAGAATATATATCAAAAGATGAACATATTGCATAGCTGAATAAGAAAAAATGAATAAAATATGTGAAACACTTCTGTTTTC